CAGGACTAACAAATTTATTCCAATCATGAGTCCCTTTTGGTACTAATTTTAAAACATGTTCAGCAGCAATTATGCCTCCCAGCCATGAAGGCAATGTTCTATTTAATGTTGTAAGAAATATTGAACCACCAGGTTTTAAAGAATTTATACAACACTGTGAAAGGCAAATATATTATCATATAGCTTTTGTTGTATTACATTAACTACTTTTTTTTAACTAAAAAATGATACCTTTAAAAATAATTCCTTATCATTTACATGTTCTATAACTTCTGAAGCCACTACGGCATTGTATACTTCTTTATTATTTGGGGAAAAATCTTCAATGACTGTTTGAATATAATTTAACTTCCCATCTAAACTAGGATCTAACATAGCATGTTCTTTTGCTGTTGTTATTAAGTCTGAAGAAGCATCAATTGCAGTTACATCTGCTCCTATTCTGGCTAAAGGTTCTGATAATAATCCTCCGCCACACCCAACATCCAAAATCTTGATTCCTTCTAATGGTAAATAAGGACATTCTGCTTTGATTCCTGTATTTGCAAGACCATCTCGAACAAATTGTACCCTAAGAGGATTTAATGCATGTAAAGCACGCATTTCACCATTGATATCCCACCATTTGTTGCTTAATTTAGAATGAAGATCTATTGTTGCAAGATCAACTGTGGATCTTTTTACTGAAGTAGATTTCGTTAATTGATCAGTTTGTTCAGTTAACCTAAAATGACAAAACAGATTTTTTTTTTTTATAATACGAATATTTTATTTTAACAAATGTTAATGAATTAAATATTTAGGTTAGATACCGGTTTCGAAAAGTAGTACCCGTAGATATGGATCGTATGTGTAAAATTTTAATGGTCCTCATGATTTTCTTGTGTAAAATCTTTAACTACAATTATAAATTTTTTGATATAATCAAAATTTTCGATCATATGAAAAAACAAATGAGATATATCACATATCGATTACACATTGATACACCACTGCTTCAGCGCAAAACATTTGACGAAAATTAACAAAAATCATTATATTTCTATTTATTTATACAAATACGATATATTGTAATATTGGAGAAAATATTAATAGACATAAATTAAGTACATTAAGAAATTACAAAAATATTTTATTTTATTTTATTTTATATCTATATAAATATTAGACAAAAATTTTATGTTTATTAAAATTATTAATAAAATTTTAAATATAAACATACGTACCTACAACTAATATAGTGATATTAATAAAATTTTCTAAAATTAACATTTGTGCATTTAGCGATACATAAATTTTCAAGAAAAATTTTTTTAATTTACAATTTCTTTATAAATTCTACGATTTTAGATTTGTTACATTTTAAATATCGTTTAAGAAAAAGTATTCAGTTTGAAAAAAAAAAATTAAAAAATATGTAAATATATCCATTAAATGTCTTATCGAAGCAAAGAATGAATGTTTTATCTTTATCTCACCATTTCGACCTAATATCGATATCTATAATGAAAATATAGATATGTATAATCAATCTGAGTTTTCAATAACTCTTATACGTGATTGAAAGTGATAGATTTATGATCAAGATAGTGTAAAACAACAGTTTTCAATCAAATAAAAGCTTTAGTAAACATATTAATTGAGTATACAATTTTTTAATTTTATTAATATAAAAAATATCATTTTCTTTATGTTAATGTTGAGTTTTATTTAATTTTAAATAAATAAAAGATTTTCCTTTCTTGGGTATTTCATTTATACATAAAAGGTTATACAATTATAAAGTATATATAAAATTTTAGAAAAATTTACAATTTAACATAAAATTTGTTTTCTTTTCTATATTTCCATGCATATAACAATACTGTAAAAGAATTTTCTTTCCTTTTTCATTGTAAATATATATTCTTTATATACCTTACATATATACAGGTACAGTAGAGTCCCGCTTTAACCGACCACATATTTGTTCGTAGCAAAACAATTGATCAAAGAGAAAGTTATTTATATATTTCGAGATTATTTGCGTTTTGTGAACTTTTTGTTATATTCTTTTTAAGCATACAATTTCTGTAGTATAAATGATAAATATCTGCCTTCGGATTAATCAGTTAATTGTTTAACTGGCCGGCATTGGATCTTGCAAAAGCCAATTAAGCGGGAGTCTACTGTCCATATATACTACTATATCCATCTATATTTACACCTACATATGCATGCCATTTGCATTTACATATGGGTATATACATATGCATACATACACATATTTATAGTATGAACATATTATGTATATATATATGCATATGTATACATATATATACACACATATAATGTATATATGACGTACAATACAGATGTGTACTTATTAGTATACATAATTAAACACACACATATATATTTTCGCACGTAGAATTATCACCTGCCCGATGGTATTACTCGTCCGGTAACACCCTGTATGTACCCATAGGCACGGATGCACGTATATACATAAACATTTGTATTTATACTGACTAAAAGGTATCTATTATAAGAAATATCAGTATTACGAAATTATACTTTTATTTTCAAGCGAATAAGATTATCCTTGTACCTCAAATCACACTCAACTTTTAAAGTACAAATTTCAGCTTACTATTTTCAAATTATAATTATCCTATCTATGGTAAGACTATCTATATGTTTATTTATATAGTTTAAGACAACTTAACATCGAAATTTTATACGACTACAATAGTTCGATGTTGAAAAGGAAGTCGGTACCTATTAACCTACTGCAGAAAAGAGATAATCTTGAGGTTGTTGCCGATAGATGACAGTTGAGATGTACAACACAAATTTAAGTTCTCATTTAAACTTTATAGTTACAAAATAGAACGAGTGTTTAAGAATTCGCAAATATTTAATGGTAAATAAGAGTATTTAAATAATAGTAAGCATTACGTAATATCCCTAAAATTAAATATCCCTAGATATTCGTGGATCTATCGGTTACTAAATTGCACTGCTATCTAGCGTTCTTAAAGTGTATAAAATTTTCGAGAACATGTAAAGTCGTAATAAAATCTTTATCGTTAAAATTTTCATGACTTAACAATGGCGTACGAGAAGATGGCGAAAAAATGTTTTCTTCGATTGCTAATTTAATTTAGAGGAAAAGTAGTTTCATTAGTAATTGAGTTCAATAATATGGTCTCGTTAGTAACGGTAAATCCTAGGGACTTAAGTTTCCTGCAGGTTGACCTAGTTTGTTTTGCTTCAATTTCGTATTCTTCTGCTGCTGAACTTGCTCATCCAGAGGTTTCTTGGTGACAAATTGGAATTAGTGGTAATTGCGTTAGTTTAACGTTCACTATGAGCGAAACGTACAGGTTAATCGAATTTATCGAACTGTACGACCTACATACAGAAATTTTACTGTAGCAAGCAAGATTTCAGGTCCAAAATTAAAAAGAATATGGGAGATATATACCCCTATAAAATATTTTTGCATACCTTATTTAAGTGTAATTTTTCCTTGCTGAAGTATATGTCTAAAAGGTGTACCATATTTAAGTGTACCTATAAATATACTCTCATAAGTTCACAGACTTTTAATATCATGCATTATATTTACAACCCCGATCTGTCATGTCCTGATTATCGCCTGTTTTTATCCGTGAAAATTGGAATTTTCTTACGAATAGAAATTTCGAGAAATCATTAAAATCAAAGTTGCAGTAAATTTATTTTTTAAAAGTGAGAGACAAGGATTTTATAAAATAGGAATATATAAGCTCGTAGAACGTTGGAAAAGAGTTGTAGAATTAAGTGGTGATTATTTTATAAAATAAAATTGCTGTTTAAAAAGGATTGGAGCATTTGAAATTTGTTCAGTAACCTCGCACAAACTTTTCTGCTACTTAATATAATACTGCTCATTCAAACCGCGATGAAACGGCAACAGAAAATCGTACGATGACTTTTAAGAGGTTTTTGTAAAGGGGAAACTTTTCTCTATAAGGTGCATTTAAAATAAGTAGCAAAAAAAATTGTCAAGGTTCATAGAAAAAAAGTTTTTAGAAAAAGAGTATTCACAATTTTGCACTTTACTTTTCGAAATATGGAAAATTTTGAGAACCATCTGTACATGTATGTCAAAGTAGAGGCTTCAAGCTTTAAAACGAGCCAAAGTTAGTCGTCATACGATGTTTCTTTAAGAAGTTACAGCAGTTCGAATATTGACAATTTTTCGACGAGTATTTCTTAAGGCGGTTTTCATGTAATAAATCCAATAAAAATCAATTTCTTTGGAATTTTTTCCTGAGGAAACCACGATACCTTTTGATATGCGAGGTTATGTCATACTGGTCTGTTCCAACTAGAATTTGAGATATGGCAACCATTTGGAAAAATATGCGTTTCGAGAAAAACGTATTCAAAGTATTTCATACGAATGTGTGTTCGCGTCGCACACAATGAAAAACGCTATTAATTTCATTAATTTTTCAAATTCAACAATATCCACTAGTAGAAACACTTTCGAAGACATACTTTCAGAAAATAAAATGAAAAAAAAACTGATTTTCTGAAGATTCTAAACTATAATACACCCTTAATACAAAAAGAGATAGAAAAATAGAAAGATACTTCCACTTGTAAAGTATAATTATTTTAATTTCGTAATCTTTTGTAAATTATTTCTTTTGTAGAAGATACTTAAGGTATTTAATTATTTGTTCACTTTAACGACATATCGCGAATTACATACCACGAATAATTTTTGTAGTCCCGTTATCAGCAATGGTAAACACAACAGATCCGAAACGTCATCTGAAAAATAATTATTACCTTAGATCTATGAAACATACATATACCTGTGACCTAGTTTAAATGTTGTTTGTGCCTTCATATATTTGTATAAGGTAGTTCAAACTACGGAAATTGCGATACAAATATATTCCCCAACACGTTCTTATATCGTAGTTTAATTTAATCACGTGTAATCGGTTTACAAATTGAACATTGATATTATCATATGAGATTTAACTCTGGATCAATCTCATCAATACTGACCTTTATTTAAATATCATAAATCTAATATAATTATATGTACGTATTAATTTCTTATTATAGCATTTAAATTAATATCATTGACATATACTATACTTAGTTGCATAAGTTTAGTTAACTCTAGTGTCGATAGAATGTCCTTGTGGCGTTATGGTTAACACTGCTGATTATTTACTGCAGCACCTGTCTTTTATTTTCTTCAGTATACCTGACTACCTAATGCAATAACTATGTTATACCTTTCTCATTACGAAACACAATACCTACACTTTATTTCCCTAAATTATTAAATAAATAATTATTTAATATAATAAATTAATATATTAATATAAAAATTTACATATTAAGCTATTTAATAATAATTATTTAAATGAATAATTATTTAATATTAATTATTTAATAAAAATGTCCTTAATTATTTGATAAAATCCCGAGGTCTTACGTCTCTCAATAAACCTAACCTCCAAATAAATAGAAATATTTGTATTAACTTAGGCAAAACGTTTAATATTATCTATTACTGTTTCTTGGAGAAAGATTTTAGTGATCAGTCAACAATGACGTAGCAAATATGCTTTAGATAGGCTAAATAGATACACCATTTAGATATTTCAACATTTAAGTAACAAGGAACGAAGAGGGGTGTGAAGTCCTGACAGTGGACAAAGATCGTAAACACGCTGTCTGAGTAATTCGTTGCAACGACTGAATCATAAAGGCATCGATAACCTGGCAAGGCGGATAATTACTCGTGTTATCAAGGTTACGTGACGTGAACTCTTGTTTGAGGATCGCAGAAGGAAATGATACTGTCTACGACGGATGCTTCTTCCTACACACATGATGGCCTGCCACTATAAATTTCGCGATAAGCAAGATCTCAGCATGTTTCGCGTCTTTCAGTAGCAATCTGTTATCTGACACATTGATCAAATAATGTTTCAGTTGTAACTCGACATTCGTCCGACAGTCTATGCCACGAGAGGGCAGATGTGAAAGATGGGCACCGACTTGGAGAAAGGGGTGTACACGTCGCCATATGGCTCCAAGAAATGGGAATATTTGTCTATTTTAACGTGTAATTACTAAATTATTTGTCTATTTCAACGTGTAATTACTAAATTATTTGTCTATTTTAACGTGTAATTATTTGTCACTATATCACGAATTTTTATCCCCATAGTTACTAATTTATCACTAAAATTACTAAACCTGTCGAAACGACTAGTCCAGAGTTAGTGAGAATATACAATTAGTTTTTGAAGCAACTAATTTTAACGTTTATCGGAGTAATTATAAAAATACAGTACCACTTCAGTGAATTGATTAAGTGTACATTACAGGTCAATAGTTCAATGCGAAACAGTGTGTTTGCAGTGTTGGAAATTAATGTGTGGTGTATTCAGAATTACGTCGTTCGTTTGAATATCATATTCGTTGATATCGAATATGTACTGTTGTGTATGAAGTAATAAATACATTGGTTCATCAGGTTCCATTATGTGTGCCTGTATGGGATTCATCGTGGGATGGAATTCACCGAGCATCGTGAAGTTAATGGCTGACGACTCTTCTATACCAGTTACACCATCAGCTGTTTCTACACTGGTGGCTGTTGTGGCTATTGGTCATATGATAGCACCACCGTTCAACACTTTCATCGTTGACAGATTTGGCAGGAAAAATACTATGCTGCTCAGTGCTTTACCGCTATTAGTTAGTTGGAGCTTAATCACTATAGCGACATCTATTTGGGTAAATAAATAATTTATTTCCTCGGTTTAACGATTTGCCTCTATTTTCTCAACTGCATGACCATTTTATTCACTGTGGTGGCATCATTCCCACCCTTGCCAATAGATGGATTCCTACTTGAAGGAGGTTCGAGGACTGTTTTACAAGTCCTCGGTAAAACCCTCCGCTTCCTATACATAGAATTTCTCAACATTTCAATAGTATCCCCGTCGAAGGCAGGGCCTGCTAGATAGCCTTACCGATGAGTTCACTGGCAGGCCCACGACCAGGAAACACATCCCTTCCTTTTCCTTTCGTCCTTTCTAGCACTACCCTAACATAGAAAATACCTGGGATCAGCCAACTGACAGTAACCATGGTAGAGGACCCCAACAATTATTATATCATGATAAAATAAAATTCGATAAATATAACATATTTGTAGAAATAATATTACTAAAAATTTCTATTCACTATATATGACACATTTGTGTAGAATTAACAGAAGAACTCTAATCCTAATTTTACATAATAATTTTCACTTTAATATAATAATTTCTCCTTTACGTTATAATTATATATTAACCTATTATAGTCGACCAGAGTATATTAACTCTGGAGTATTTTTCTCCACAGGAACTGTACATAGCGAGACTACTGGCAGGGATATCACTAGGAATATTCGTCTGTGTCTGTCCCATGTATATAGGCGAGGTGTCATCGACAGATACGCGAGGTGCTGGGAACTCGATGGCAGCCATCATTTACAACATTGGTATTCTCTTAACCTTCGTAATCGCTCCTCATCTCTCTTTACCTCTAATGGCAGGGGTTTTCTTGATCATCAATTTCGTCTTCGTGATCACATTCTGGTTCATGCCCGAATCCCCGTACTTCCTGGTGATGAAGAACAGGATAGACGAAGCGGAGGAGGTGTTGGAAAAACTACGAGGCAAATCGGACGTCTCCGAAGAGCTACGAACGATCGTCGACACGCTGACGAAGGACAAGGAGTCGGCCAAAACCGGAGGCTTGAAGGACATCTTCACGTCGTGGGCCAACTTCCGGGCGTTGCTCATTATCACGCTCTTCACCGTGACTCATCATTTCGGTGGCTACTTCGTGATCCTGGCATATGGCCAGTTGATATTTAAGTCAACCAACAACGTGTTCTCGGATTACACGTTGAACGTGGTAATTGGCCTAACGCAGCTAGTCTCCGCTCTTCTCACCGGTTTCCTGGTAGACACGCTCGGACGCAAACCTCTGATACTCGTGTCGGGTGTCAGTGCATCGATTTGCAATCTTGTGATCGGTGTTTATTTCTACGCCAATGAGTACACGCGTGTTGACACGTCGTCGTTCTCATGGGTCCCGTTTTTGTCCTCCATAATTCTCATTTTCTCCTTCAATTGCGGTCTAGTCTGCCTGCAGATCGTTCTCATGTCAGAGATCTTCGCGACGAAGGTCAAGGCTGTCAGCACGTGTCTGGTAGGCGTGATCAGTGGACTGCTTGGCACTCTGGGCTGCAAGCTTTACATATGGATAGCGATAAGTTTGAACTACGGCCATTCGATACCATTTCTGGTCTACTTTGTTGTCGTGGCAGTCTGTACAGCGATCATATTTCGTATCACGCCTGAGACCAAGGGCAAGACATTCGCGGAGATCCAAATGGAGTTGAAGAAGTAATCGTTTCTCGTTGTTCGTTGATTGATCAGTGCGCAGATGACAAGTCTATGCTCCGTTCAACGAGAATTCACGGGAAATATAAACAGACTGTTCACGTGATTTGTAAGCTATGGCTGCAGCTGAGTGACTGTCAAACGTTGATGTTCAGCGATGAATAACGAGGAACCGAGGGTCTTTGCACGCGAAACCAGTTTCTTTATTTATGTGCAGGGCTCAGAACACGATGTTCCAGTCCTAGTTTGATCACGAGTCTTTTGCATGTACTGTGCGTCCAAGGCAAGAAGGCACAGCGTGTTATCCTCACGGCTAACTCCGTTGACACTCCCATGATCACAGGGGAGATAGGATAACGACAGCATCGGCATAGTCTTTCAATCGTAATCTTAGCTTCCTATTTTTCAACCCTTTACACTCAAAAGACCGTTTTTTTTTCGGTCACCGTTCAATCAAATTTTGGAGATCGATATTAGTATCTCAAATTTAAGGTAACGTAACAATAGACCTTCAGTCACCGTTCAATCAAATTTTGGAGATCGATATTAGTATCTCAAATTTAAGGTAACGTAACAATGTGTGAGGTATCGAAATCAAATAATTCTACGAATTAATTATTACACGATTTCTTATTTAATGGTGAAAATAGTATTGTCAGTCTTATATCAGAATCTTTTAATTTCTACTTTTCTCTGGACAAAATGTCGTCGAGTGCAAGAACTTAATAGCTAACATTTAGATCGAAAGGCTAAATATGGCCGATGCTGCCATATCCTATCTGACTTGGTCTCGTTACAGCCCATCGATGATATTCGTCACCGTCCTCTGCCAATAGCGGTCACTGCCTGTGATCATGGGACTGTCAGAGGATTTATACAGCCGTGAGGATGAAAACAGACTGAGCCTTCTTTCTTCGGACAGATAGTACATACGAAGGTCGCGTGATCAGAACAGGTCTGGAATGAATAATAGTTGTTTATATTCTAGTACTCGTTAAACGAAGTATAGTAACATTAAGCGATTCTCTCGCTAGGGACTAGGGAAAAGCAATGGCGCCACAAGCTCTTGCGGGAACGTGTCGTGATACTAATAAGTCTATATCGCTATTGCATGATCTATTAAGTTATGTTAAATAGGAATTTATATAAAATTATTTATGTACAAATTTGTGTATAGAATTAAATTATTGTATATACTATTGGAATACTATATATGATGTAAATACGGGAAGAATGTGATACATAAAATTGTGTATGTGACAGTAACGTCTTTAGGACTCCTAGCAAGAGGATCGCTGTGTAAAATAGGATAATTTTGCAACATCGTTCTTTGAATTAGTATCGTTTTTATGAAGGGAAGACTGGATCTGCGGTGGTCTTGAGTGTCACGATGACTTGCAGATCATCATTTTTTTTTTATTTGGATGCAAGATGTTGCGTGTTTTGTACAGAAGGAAGCGTTTGGAAACTGAATCTTGTTTTCCTTTCACGTGAACTATAAATAATGAAGATAAGTTTATAATTTGAATGTCAGTTGCGAACAGTTTAAACAGTCAATGATACGAGGAAAGCACAAAAGATAAAAAATATCCGAGGACAAACTCATTGGGAAAATTATTTCCCAATATCGTTTACTTTAATTTAAGAAGACAAGATCAACAAATTTAATTAAATTATTCGTAACATAAATTTGACATTCTAATTACAGACCTTCACCACCTAATTACATTCTAATTACAGACCTATTACACCTAATTACATTGTAATCAGGTATCAGAAAACATAAGCAGTTATATAATTGCTATTGTTATCAACAAAATTCACTATAAAATCGCTAGAAATAAATATTCCCTATTTCTTCCTTTTACCCTCTATGTATTAAGATTAACATAATTTTATTTTTAAAATTTTTATTCCTTCATCAAGTGAAAGCAACTTTTTTAAAAATATTTTTTCTAATGTTGCAATAACAATAGTATATCTTCCACAATGTCTCGTGAATACTCAAAGGAAGTCGTAAGTACATCGAATATAATCCTCACTGTCTCAAAAAAAAAAAGACAATTTTGAAATATCAAATAATATCAATAATACTCGATATTATTTACTATCATTAACATTATTGATACTACTATTTAGTATCTTCTATATTATCTATAATATTTAGATAATAACCAAACCATATTAATAATTCCGAATCGTGCTACAAGCAACATCAAACAATACTGAAAATCAAAATATCGTATAATTCATTTACGTCAGAGAAGTGAAAAATACCTTCCAAACATCCAAAGAGAACACAGTTAATGGCATGAAAGCAACGAATAAACAAAACACGCGAATCTTTTCATTCCCCCGGATTAAAAAGGAAAACAGCATTCGATCATGTCTCTCGACAAATATTATTACGACTTAACATTCCTCGTCGAGGAATCCTCTATAATTCCCTATATAAAAAGCGCCCCCCCTGCCAAGAGGTATACGAGATAGACGAAATACCCGTGCTGCGCGGGAGTCGCGTACCCTCACCACTCGTCATTCCTCACGTGACATTGCGTGCCTAGTGAGGGGTGCAGAGAATTCTTCGCGGACTGTTGAAGATGTTAACACTGCGGGCCAAGAACGCAAATAGAGCGAAGCCAAGGCTACGACATTAGGTAATCAGTGGAGCAGAATCCCAACGTTATGGAACACCCGGGGAAGCTGATGTTCGGGCTGCTTCTTGGTAATTCCGGGGTGGATCAGTAGGCGCGGTGTTAGCATCATCGCAAAACATGGAGCGTACGTTGGGTGGACAAACATAGATATCCAACCTATGCAAAAGCCTATGCGCGTCACCAACACCAACTTGCCCTTGCCTTCCAACGGATCGAGACCCACACTGTGCACACAGTTGTATCATCCCACCAAATACAGTACCGATCGTTGGCACACAAACAAACATGTTCAGCAAACAACCACGTTGCTGTATAAAAGCACCACTGTACTATGTGATACGAAGCTCCTACACGAACGATCATTCTGCCACTTTATGGTGAAAAAGGTATCTTTGTCTGCGACTGATCTAGGGGGTGGTGTGGTAGGTCTTGTGTTTGCTGGTTAAATGGCGAGGCTATGGTAGATCGTGTATTTCTGTTGATCTTCTGGGTTGGAGGTATGTAGATGATCATTGGAGATGGGTATTTCGGATTATTGTTCAGTGGTGCTTTATTTTAACGTGGTTGATGTCTCTTTGTCCGGCTTGGTTCAAAAGTTGGTTGATTGGTGGTGTACTTCCGGTTGTATGCAACGTTGGACGACAAAAACGTATTTTTCTTATCGATACCTATTATTTTCTAGATTCTTCGTCATCGATGTAGGATTGGAATGAGTGTGGCCTTGAAAGAGTGTCAGGAGTGTTTGAACTTAGAACAAAGATGACCACGCGCAAGAAGATCGAATAAAGCCGATAGACGATTGGAAGTTAGTTTATGAGTGCGGCATGCGTTTGAAGTAACTGGTCCACCGTGGTTACGGGGAAAGAAGCATGATTGGGAAGGAAAGCCTTAGTGTGGAAAAGGACAGCATGAATGGTTTAAATAAGGGTCAAGGGCGTAGGCGAGTCAGTGTGCCAATCAGTCAGTGTGTCAGTTAAATGTGTCTGTAAGCCAGTATGTAAGAAGTCCAAGTCATCCTAAGAAAGATCAGAAGAGCGTGCCCATAACGAATCCTCTTGTTTCACAGCCGTCATTCTATTTACATTCTTATTTTATTCTATTAAGAAGCCAACAATGCCATCTTAAGTCAGTCCACCCAAAATCCAATCTTACATCGATAATAATTAATATTTTTGCCATTGTACATGGGACAATAGGAGGTCATTGCTTTGATGTCAGTATCCTTTGTGTGGATATGAATGTGGAGTGCGTGCGGAGGGACGAGTGACCGAATACAAGGTCGTATGAACGGAAAATTTATGGCAGAATCGAATGCGAGGATAATATAAGTGTGTTAGGATGCCAGCGAGTATAAAGAATATAGAGAGTATACAGGGAATACAGACTGTAGAAAGAGAGAAACAGTAGCGAATCAGTGAGAGTTTAGCGCTTAGCGTTTAGTATTTAGCATTGAGAACATAATTTTAATAAATCATTTTTATATTTTTAAACTACGTCTATTCTGTTGCCCACCCAACATTCCTACAGTACTGTACAATAGTACAGTTTTAGGCTATCGACATTGCCAATTTGTAAATATATTTTACTGGATCGTTTCCACGATTATCATCCGTATTATTTATTTATTATTTGCAAAATTTGAAATGTCTTTCCATTTTATATGAAAATAAATTTTCATAATTTTGAATACCGAGTGTTAAGTTAATTTTAAATTAATTAATTTTTAATATTAGATATTAAATTAGAAATAAATTTAATTTATTAAAAGAGATGGTAATATCTTTGTTCATAGTGAAAGAAATATAAGTAAATTTTGGTTAATAATTTTTCTTTCTACCGTATATTTTATTCTTCGTTATCCTTATTCCATAGAAAAATGTGAAACGTATTCATCGAAATCGAAAGTTCGGGATTGGAATTTTCTCGGTTACGATCTGTAATTGTAATAACGTTCTCGAATATAATATCACCCCTAGAAATTTGAATTCTCCGTTTTCAGAGGGCAGCCTGTACGTGAATCCACAAAATGTGTGGAACGAGCCCCGAATGCAAGAAGAGGTTAGTATCGATAAAACTTGAAGGGAATGTGACATTTAATACGATAACAATCTCGTTTCCACTGTATTAAAATTTTATACAGCTTTTATTCCAACGATGCAAGAATACAGTATGAGGCAAAAGTAAACGTAAAAATTTCCAACGTTTTAATAGATTCCTTTGAAAATAACAGCGATCATAGAAACAAGCCTTTTAAATCATTTCCTGTATGTTGACTATAAGCTTTCCATCGAATTAAATTTATCGTGTCAAATTTCCTATAACATAGTAATTATAGGTTAGTTTAAAAAGTTAATGGCGAAATTTAATAAAAGAATATTAACTTTTCCAAAAACAGTTGCATATCTCAATTTAAAAAATTGAGAAAACAGAATGTAAAAATGTTATCTTTCATGAGGATGCTCCTTGTTACGTTTCTATGGCACGTCGATTCGATATTACGCGAACGAGATAAAATATTATCTCGGACAAGTGGTTTACTTAAATGAACAAATTGATATCTCGCGAGATATATGGTTTGCCATAGTTTGTTTCGATCAATTTATGAAAAATAGTGATATGGAATCATCTTAGGTCTACATAGTCTACGGTGGCTTTAGAGCATCTCACCCCTATCTTGGAAACTTAGCAAGGTGGTAATGCAGGTCAACGAAGGGTCTAGTCTTGAAAAGAAGCTGATCCCCTTCTTCATAAATTTTTCGTGCGACACTAGTCCTTCAACGTCGACAAACTAAATTTTAAATCCAAACTCCTAAGTAGGATCTGACGATCCATAAGTGTAGCAGGACCTCAACGAGTGTTCTCGAAAGTAAATTCTCAAAAATATTTTTGCTCAAAGATTTTTATTTCGTTATTCCATAAATCGTCGAAGGAGATGAGAAGCGATCAATTTCATTACGAATTCTTTCGAATGTACTCGAAACTCTTGGAATCTTGAGTCTAACTAAGAGGAACGAGTAGATAGTAGATCCCAGACTATCAATTTGACAAATGCCTTACTTTAAGATCGAAATGTGCTACCATTCTATCATACTGGGAAAATACTTTCTTATTTCAAGAAAAATATCTCTCAATATCCTCGTGAACGAGGATATATTCAAGAAAATCTTTATACTCTACTCCCCCTTGTATTTTTCACTGCAGCTCTTGTGACAGAGTCAGCAAAATTTCGAAAATTCCACTTTTTCATTCCAATTACTCTTAATAACACAGGGAAATGTTAATTA